CCCCTGCTCGGGTCATGACCCAACTGTGCAGCGCCTTGGGACGTCCTCCTGACGTGAAAGGCGCTTTATAAATGGAATCTTGTTGTTGTTGTTGTTGTTGTATGATTCTATGATTCTATGGCTGCTGTGTTTCGCCTACAAATATACCATCAACTCATTTTACAGTATATTCCGTGCAGGAGATGTCTCAAAGAAGTGATAAGATGCTGTATGAAACACAAGGATTATTGTTATTAACATTCACCTGTGCAAATATCTCAATATTGTGGAAATGTGGTGGTAACGATTATGGAGTTCGCACATGGAAGAAACATCATTAGAACTTTTTTGCGGATCCCTCAACCCAGACTCTAGCAGAACAGGGCAAAAAGCCGTGAGCAAAGCTGTCTGATATTCAGGTGGATATCCGAACTTCTGCTATCTTTGAGCCCTTTCCATCGCCGTCTTCAGGTCATGCATATGGTCACCTCCCCCACCCCTGGCTCTGCATTGTGCTACTGTTACTGCAGTAACAGAGATCACAATGCTGGATTTCTCCTGTTGGTGTGTGTCAGTACAATCCAGTTTACAGGACCCCAAATCCGGCAGTGGACTGTTCAGTGGTTGGGATTCTGGCATGTCTGCAATCCTTAAGGCCTGGCATCCAGTCCATGACTGGTTTTGTAGAGATGGAGGTAGGGGGATAGTGGGTGCTCCCAATTGTGCCAAAGATATTTTTGTATCCTGAATAACAACGTCAACAACTTGCATTCATATAGTGCTCCTCATGCAAGGCAGCCTCCCGGAGCGCTTCTGAAGGATCGCGTAACACAGGATGTTACGTGATCTGAAGATGGGGAAGGAGGGGACAAAAAGGAGGGATAGAGGAAGAGTGTTCCAGAGTTTTGAGCTGTAGTGGCTGAAAGCGCAGCCACCGAGGGTGGAACGGAGGGCAGAGGGACCTGCAGGAGGCTGGAGCCAGTCGAGCGGAGGTAGCAGGCAGTGGGTTGCGTAATAAGGGGGGTTCCAGTGCATGAAGGATTTTTAAAAACTGTTGGAGGCAAAAAGGGTATTTAATCCTCGTTAAAGTCTGCGACAGGGAAGCTGTGTCCATGAAGGCAATAGTGGAAATTGCGTGCAGATGTGTTGAAAAGATGTCAGTATTCTTCTTACTTTTCCGTCTGTCTGCATCAGCTCTATGGAAAACACCAAATACCATTGCAGTGAATTCATGGCGTTTCTCAGCCGTGAGCCTTGAAGCTCCCCTCTGTCTGTGCTGGACCAGTAAATTCTGTACGGAAAACCTCTCGATCAAGTGGAAGCTTCAAACACTGTGCTCCTTCATATACTAAATAAATGCTCATCCATTTCCCATTCCTAATTCCGAGTGGCCACACTGGAGCTTTGTCATGCTGTGTTGTGTAGAGCTGTAGCGGGACTCGGGATATTTTGAGTTCAAGTGTTTGAATAGTGCTGTGGGGGTTGTTGTTCCATTATTGCAATCTGTGTGTGTCCTGGATTCTGTATCCAAGTTTATTGTTAATATACATGGCTTCTTTATGAGGTCTTTCATGTCACTAAAATGAGCTGGGAGATCATTCAGCCTGTCACTGTGTCGTGTGAAGCATCCTCAAGTGGACCCAAGAACAACAACTTGCACCCCAGAGTGTGAAGATGGAGAAGGAAGGGGCAAGGTGAAGGGATGGAGGGAGAGAGTTTCGGGGTGTAGCGGCTGAAAGTGCAGCCACCGATGGTGGAACAGCGGGCATGAGGACAAACATCTTAATAGATCGGATTCTCCAGTAAGTTAGTATTAGTGAGAGTGAGAGAGTGCAAAAATGGAACCAGTGTGACTTGTAACCCTTTCTTCACTGCTTACACATGTGATGAAATGGATTGCTTGCTATTTGGACTGAATCCACTGGCTTTATTTCCACTCCAGGTTTTTATACACGCAGCCAGGATTAGAGCGTACAAGGGGGATCTGCACCCAATCCCACCCACACTGTTAGTCACTTTGTGAGGTTATGAAGACTGTTTGTGGGTACCTCGACCACAGTGCACACACATACCTCTAGTTCTCAGGTATCAAAAGACACATTTATAATGAAAGAACTTGCACTTTATGTTGCCTATAACATTGAAAGGTCTCAAAGTGCTTCACAGTAATTACATGTAGTAACTTGCTTATAGGCAAACGCGGCAGCCATTGGTGGGCACAGATAGGTCTCCAAAACGGCGATGAAGTGAATGATCAATTTATTCGGAGGATTATTATCCGTGGAGACACTCCCTTCTCCTTTCCATTCCAGGATTTTAACATCCAAATGAACAGGCTCAAGTGACCTGGGTTTAACATCCATTGGAGGCTATCACGTCTGAAAATGTAACTGTCTTTCCCATCCCCCTTCAATACTGCACTGGTCTGGAATAGTCAGCATAGACTGCAAGCTGTGGTAGAAAGGAGGTTGGCCTAGAATGTACAATGCTCGCAGTGTTGGTTTCTAGAGTAGATTTCAGCAGTGAGAGGCACAGATCTCCATTCAACAACAACAACAACAAATTTGTACAGCGCCTTTCACATCAGGGGATGTCCCACCTTGCTGGGTGAAGTGCTTTGAGAGGTGTGCTGGGTAAAGGTCAATGACTGTTGTTGCTGGGACCAGGCTATGGGGTTTGCTGTTTAACAATAGCTTTGATTGGATTTACCATGAAGACAGAAGTGGGTGATGAAGCGCTCTGAGATGCCGTCCGGCGTGGAGGGCGCTATATAAATCCAAGTTGTTGTTGATGGATTTATCAACCCCGTCATTGATTATGAAAGTAGTGAAGTCATCTCACAATCGTATTGAATGTTGATTAGGCTGCAGCTGGGATGTTGTGCTCAGTTTGAGGCTCCTCATCGGTGGAAGGATGTGGGAGAGATGGAGAGGTTGCAGCAGAATAATACTGAGTATGAGACAATACATGCACATGTGTCCTGTATTGGATTGGTTAAAGCACTCGACTCGCAAGCGAGAAGACCTGGGTTCGATTCCCGGTCAGGGAAAAACTTTAGGCAAGTTTCCTTACTCCACATGCCTCTGTTTACCCAGCAGTAAGTAGAAACCCGGTTGGTAGGCGATTGCTGGATTGCTTTTCTGGGGGTAATAATCCCTTCAAAAATAAAATAAAAAATTATGTGGTCAATCCACGACTGTTTGTGGATCCTGCTGTGCACAATTGGCTGCCGTCTTTCGCCCACAAGATTTACACTCAATTCAGTATATTTACAGTATATTCTGTGAAGCACTTTGAGACGTTTCGAATGCATGATAAGGTGTCATATCAAATGCATAGATTATTATGAAAATAGGCTGGTTAAATGGTATCCCCCTGCAGTCCCTCCAAACACCTTTAAAAAGACTATCCCACGGAGGTAGAGAGTTTCAGTGCTATGATTGTTCTGCACTTTGCTCTTGTTTATCTAGCCCTTGTTGTTCAGTAGATCTGGAAAGATTTGGCTGCCAGCCAGGTTAAGGCTCCATTTGAGTTTTGGAGGTGCTTTAGTGTGGGCGCAGGGTGTTTGCAGATGCAGTCACCCACTTATCTCCTGATAAGTTATCTTCAAACAATGATAAATTCTATTGGAGTGTTGGTAGGGGGAGCTTTACAGGTGTAGTTTGTTTGACTATACAGCCTTTATTTCAGGTGATGGAAGTGCATATCGGGACAGGTTGTGGCAAGTGTGTCAGTGCCCTCGTCTGAGGATATTAAGCACATCCTAATCCACACCGAACCTCTCAGCATTTCCACTCCCATTCCTTCTCATAGAATTCAATTGCTCGGACAAGTCCATTCTTGGCTTTTACACTCTGAGGTTTCCAGAGGCCACCAGTGTTATAATAATGATTCTTGTAATTGATATAGCGCCTTATTGTGTCGTTGAGACATGTCAAAGTGGTTATCAGAATACATTGTAAAGTGAATTGACTGTGTATTTTGTGGGTGAAACGTGGCGGCCAATTGTGCACAGCAGCGTTCCACGAACAGTTCTGGATTGAGTGACCCAATTTTTTTTTGAAGGGATTATTATCCCCAGTAAGTGATCCGCCAATCAATTAACAACCGGAATCCTACTTACTGCTAAGTAAACAGAGGTGTGTGGAGTAAGGAAACTTACCTAACGTTTTGCCCTGGGAATTGAACCCGGGTCCTCTCACTTGCGAGGCGAGAATGCTAACTACCACTATGCTACAGGACTCCACGAGTTGTGAGATAACCGGCTTTCCTGCCTCCACATTGTCCAAGATCTGACTCCCAAGTTGAATCGCCTTTTGTCTCTGTGAACAGAAGATAGATAGTGTCCTGGGCTCTGGGTTGAAGTGAGGGGACCTGGTGACAGTTGGTACCCATGTTGACGTCACTGATTTATCGCACGCTCAGTGCCTGTGAAACCCACCTGAAATTTGTTTTTAACGAACAAGTGGTTCAGAGTACTGCTACTCCTGCGTAGAGAGGATCCAACTCCAATGAAAAGGGCGCTGGAGTGAATGGGCTCAGTTCCATTTAGCATGTGTATCTTACATCATTGCTGAAATAGTATAATATCGTCAGAGACCCTCACAGAGCCCCTCTGCCAGTGAAGGGTGGTCCTGCAACCAGAATGATTGGGGGGATGGAGGGACTGGACTATGAGGAGCAATTAGGTAAACTGGGCATGTTCACACTGGAGAAAAGAAGGTTGAGGGGCAATAGGATTGCATTCTTTAAGATTCTGAAGGGATGAGATCATGTAGACTATGATAAGCTGTTTTATCTTCTACTGAACAGTAGAACCAGAGGACACGGCCTGCAATTCTTATATTCTTATATGAGTGCTTCCCTTCCATGGAGTTACAGGCAGGAGGTGAGAGGAGCTTCCTGATGGTTACACAGGGCAGGTTGCTGTTGGAAGCATTAACGCTGTGCTGCTGATTGATTGTGTCTCTGAGAATAGGGGCCTTTACTAACGCTGCCTTCTATTTGCTTATTCGTTGCAGATTCGTTTGTGAACAGCCAGGAATGGACACTGAGTCGCTCTGTACCAGAGCTCAAAGTGGTAAGTGAGACCCAAACCCAGCCAAGGATACAACTGATTACATTTAAACAGTGCCTTTCACTTTGGGAGGACGCCCCAAGATTCTGAACAGTCAAAGATTTGCACCCGAGGTGGGGGTTGGGATCAGGAGAAGTTGAGGACAGGGAGGGTGGGGTAGACGGGTGACAGAAGGTGCTGTCAAAAAAGAACAACAACAATATTACATTTGTATAACGCCTTTCACGTCGGGAGGATGTCTCAAGGGGCCGGCAATCAGTGTTTCAGACCCAAGCTGGGGTTCGGGATCATGGAAGATGGATGACAGTGGGAAGAAGGAGGATGATCGAAGGCACGGTCAAAGACTAAGTCTTGAAACAGGTCTTGAAGGAGGTAAGGGAGGGGGTGAGGTGGAGGGACTGCAGAAATGAGTTCCAGAGGGCAGCGACAGAGTGGCAGAAAGCCCGCCAGCCAATAGTGGGGTAGGCAAGGCGGAGGACGTGAAACAGGCCGGAGCTCACTGAGCGGAAGGAACGGGCAAGTTGATTGGGGCTTAGGAATTTGCAGAGGTAGGGAGGAGCAAGGCCATGGAGGACTTTGACAGTGAGGACCAGGATCTTGAACTGTATTCCTCTGTGTGATGGGAAGTCAGTGGAGTCGTAGGTTATAATAATAATAATAATAATAATAATAATAATCCTTGCATTTGATATAGCGCTTTTCACGTCAGGAGGACGTCCCAAAGCGCTTCACAGAACACACTGTAAAGTGAATTGACTGTATATTTGTGGGCGAACGCGGCAGCCAATTGCGCACAGCAATGTCCCACAAACAGTCGTAGATTGAAAATGACCAATTTAATTGTTTTTGGTTTTTTGGAGGGATTATTATTAGGCGTGTGGAGTAAGGAAACTTGCCCAAGGTTCTTTAAAGACCACCTAAATGGGTGGTTTAACAGCTTATCAGATGGTCGATACCTCTGATAATGTAGCACCCCCAATACTGCACTGTAATGTCAGCCTAGACATTGAGCTCCCAAGTCCCCAGTGTGGGACTTGAACCCACAACCTTCTGCCCCACAGTGAGAGTGCTATCCACTGAATCAGATTGACACCCACTGACAAGTGAGTTTTCACATTGACCCATGCCTGATATAATGCTGCTTCACTGAACAACCTCGCTTACCATTGTCATACAGTAACTTTTTATTCTCTCCTTCAGCCCAGCTGTCAGGGCTCTTCACGGAGAAACAAGTACCGTGTATTCCAGAAATGGGAGCCCAGTTAATGTTAATAATAATCCTTTCATTTGCTATAGTGCCGTATTATGTAATTGAGACGTCCCAAAGTGCTTCACAGAATATACTACAGTGGATTGACTATTTTGTGGGTGAAATGCGGCAGCCAGTTTGTGCACAGCAGTGACCCACAAACAGCCAAGGAGTGAATGAACAATTGTATTTGGGGGATTGTTGGCCATGACACCGGGAGAGAGAAACTCCCTTCTCTTTTCGAATAGTGCCATGGGATCTTTAATGTTCATCTGAACAGGCAGACGGGACCTTGGTTTAACATCTCATCTGAAGGACAGCACCTCCAACAACGCAGCACGCCCCCAGCGCTGCATTGGAGTGTCAACAGAGACTACGTGATTCCAAGTTCCAAAGTGGGACCTTGAATCCACAACCATCTAACGAAGAGGCGAGAGAGAGCGCTACCACTGAGCCAGGCTGACACCCATGTTGGTGCCTGCATGGAGATTCCATTGCTCCTCCATGCCCAGGGTTGCACTGAAAACCTGTGCCGTTAATAAAGCCTCCCTTTATTACATCATCTCTCACACCCGACCCCTCCAAATGCCTGTGCGGTCTGTTTTTCTTTAAAAAAATCCATGAAACTCTCTTGTTTATCTTTATGTGAGTGAAAATTCTCTTGATTCACATCTGGGTTAGATTCCTTGGAGATGAGGATATTAAGGTCATATTATTAAGGTGTGTAAAAATACTGAAAGAATTAAAACTATATGATAGTAATAATAATCCTCGCAACAAAAACAGAAGTAGCTGGGAACACTCAGCAGGTCAGGCAGCATCTATGGAGAAAGGAAAGTGAGTCAACGTTTCGGGTCCACGACCCTTTGTCAGAACTGGGGCACATTGGGTGCATAGGTCAGAGTGAGAGTGGGAGAGAGAGTTGAAAGGTTGTAAATGCAGCGCTCTTCTGATCACTGCTCTCACTGCCTTCAGCGCTCTTCTGATCACTGCTCTTGCCGCCTCTCAGTAACTATCTTAAACTGGAACTAATTCCATATGGATTCCGTCTTCAATTCCACCCTTCCTGCTTTCAATCTACCCACGGTCACAGATACCTCCTTGAAATTCAGCGCTCTTCTGATCACTGCTCTCGCCGCCCTTTTAATAATAATCCTTGCATTTGCTATAGCCCCTCATCACATCTTTGAGACGTCTCAAAACGCTTTACAGAATATACTGTAGAGTTAATTGACTATGTTTTGTGAGTGAAATGTGGCAGCCAATTGCGCACAGCAGTCATGGATTGAGTGACCATATTATTATTTTTTTGAAGGCATTATTACCCTGGAAAGGTGATCCGCCAATCGACTAAGAACAGGGTACCTGCTTATTGCTAGGTAAAGAGAGGCGTGTGGAGTAAGAAAACTTGCCCAACATTTCGCCCTGCCCAGGAATCAAACTCAGGTCCTCCCGAGTGCTCTAACCACTAAGCTACAGGACTCCACAATGATGGACAACTCTCCCACTGGTAGAGGATCCAAAAGAAGGGGATGTAGTCTTAATTAGATCGATGTTGGTTTGGAGAGATCAGAAAGCATTTGTTCGCACAGATGATTGCGGGAATGTGGAATGTACAGTCCCAGAAGGCCAGACAGGCAGAATTAATTGGGAGTTTAAAAAGCAGATGGATCCTTGGGAAGTAAATAGATTAAAGGTTTTGGGGTAAAATGGGATTAAGAGATCTGCTATGATCTAATAAACTTGTCAAAACAGGCTTGAATGTCTCCTCCTGTTCCCATTACCATTGCATGAAGCTGGCTTTGTTGTGAAGTTTCTGATTTCTCGCCTCCAGCATATTAATAATAAATAATAATTCTTGCATTTGATATTGCGCCCTATCACATCTTCGAGACGTCTCAAGGCACTTCACAGAATATACTGTAAAGTGAATTGACTGTATTAACATTCAACACTAGGAGAGAACTAACACTGTACAAAGGTACATGGAATTTTATAGCAGAGAGGATTCTTGTACAGGCTCTCTGAAAGAGCTCTTTGTTCAGTCCCACTCCCCAGTCCTTTCTCTCGCCCCAACACACTCCTATACCTTTTATTTAATTTTAAAACATTTATACAATTTCTCTTTTAATGCTATGGTAGATTCAGGATTTTTGGTTGGTGATTCCAGTACCTTTGTGTCTTTGGTGATAGTCTCATTGCTTCATGCCTCAATTCGTGGCTGTTTGTTGGACATGTGTATCCTCTTTGGGGGTAGGTAAGTGGGGTCTCCTTGGAGCTGAACAGGCAGGGAATATCAGAATCAAGAAAGCCCTCTGTGGCAGTCTCTAATCCGATTCCTGAGCCAGGCGGGTCCGCAGTATTCCAGAGCACTGCTGATGACAGCACAGCCCAGCCTGGCTCATCATTTCTGGGTGTAATAATCCGTGGAGTCCTGTAGCTCAGTGGTTAGAGCACTCACCTTGCAAGCGAGACAGCTGGGTTCAATTCCAGGCAGGGCGAAACCTTGGGCAAGTTTCCTTAATCCATACACCTAATAATAATCCCTCCAAAGCAAAAAAAAAGAATAAATTGTTCATTTTCAATCCACGACTGTTGAATCCACTGCTGTGCGCAATTGGCTGCCGCGTTTCGCCCACAAATATACGGTCAATTCACTTTGCAGTATATTGTATGAAGCGCTTTGAGATGTCCAGAAGATGTGAAAAGCGCTATATCAAATGCAAGGATTATTATTATATTATTAAAAATTGTTTGCGGGATGCTGCTGTGCGCAATCGGCTGCCGGTTTCGCCCACAAAGTATACAGTCAATTCACTTTACAGTATATATTGTGAAGCGCTTTGAGACTCTCAATGACGTAATAAGGTGCTATGCAAGGATTATTATTATTAAACCCAACAACCAAGGTAGTGAGGGGCACCTTGTTGCAGGAGATGATCACAGCGAACGAGACATCCTGTTCTCTGTGCTTTCTGCATATAAACTTCCCAACTCCTCCTGTTCAGAGAAACACAAGTTATGGCTTGTTGTGAGTCGCTGGTTAGCCAGAGATTTGGGTTGGAGGATTTCTGCTCTGGGTTTGCTGACGGCCACTGTCATTAGAAATCTGCCAACTGAGTGATGTAGAAATCTTTCCAAAGCCCAGGGCAAGGAGCACAGGCTGGTTATAAAGAGGCCAGTTTAGCCCAGTGAAACTGAGGGAGAGAGTGTGAGGATAAAGTTTCACTTGTGGGTGTTGTCATTAATTTAGGCTGTGCTTACCTTTTGATTCAGGTGGATATGAGGGGCACTATATAAATGCAAATTAATGGGGCGTGATATACAATAATTGTACTATAATTATGTGCAGGATGTTCCTCTCGGAGATTAGCTCCCACATGTTCCATAACATTCATTTCGGGTATCAGCCTGGCTCAGCACTCCTCCCTCCGAGTCCATAATATGTGTTGCGGCAGCTGAAGACACGGTGAAAAAGAGGGTCTTGAGTCATGCCTTGAAAGAGGCAAGGGAAGGAACAAGGTGAAGGGATTGTGGGATGGAGTTCCAAAGGGTGGGGGCAGAGAGGCTGAAAGCCTGGCATTGATGGTAGGGCGGGTCGGGCGAGAGACATGGAGCAGGTAGGAGCCTGCTGAATGAAGGGAGGGGACAGGTTGATAGGGGGTCAGCAGGTCAAAGAGGTAGGAAGGAGCAAGGCCATGGATGGCCTTGAAAGTGAGGATGAGGATTTTGAACTCTACCCTCTGAGGGATGG